GGCACTTGCTGAGAGGAGCCTGGTATAGCTGTCCCCTGAGAGTCTCTGCCAGAACCTGACCAATACAGAGGTGGATACTTGCAGTCAATCATCAGATTGAGGGTGGGACACCAATGGAGGAGTTAGGGGAAGGACTAAAGGAGCTGAAGGGATTTGCAACCCCATAAGAACAACATCAACCAACCAGACACCCCAAACCTCCCAGGGACTAAACCACCAAACCAAAGAGTATACATGGGATGGACCCATGGCTCCAACTGCATATGTAACAGAGGATAGCCTTATCTGGTATCAATGGGAAGGGAGCCCCTTGGTCCTGTGGAGGCTCGATGACCCAGTGTAGGGGAATACTAGGGCAATGAGGCAGAAGTGGGTGGGTGGGTGGGGGAGCATCCTCATAGAAGCAAGAGGAAGGAGGAAGGAGGGAGGAAGGAATGGGGGTTTGTGGAGGGGAAACTTGGAAGGGGGATAACATTTTAAATGTAAATAAGTAAAATAGCCAATTAAAAAATTTAAAAATTATCATCAGATGTCCAAGTTGGACTGACTGTAAGGAGTAGGTCAAAGCCTGTTTCCAGCACTAGAATTGCTCCTTGTGACAGTATCTCCTTGTCATCTCTCCTTCCCGGGGAGGGACCCCTTCAGTCACAGGATAACGATGCCCAACAGAGTGAAATAGCAAGTCCCAATTTCTATAACTCTTGCTAGAGATGAGAGAGAGGAGTGGATTTGATTTCTATGAAATTAAGACGTTTTTACATGCGCTGCCCTCCCCATGTAGAAGAGGCTGACCTGGGCATTTGTGGTAAGGAGGACAGAGATGCCAGCATGGTAGTCTAACTCTGTGTTCCCTGTGCCCATAGCACTTGCCTAAGTCTACCAACTTCCTCACTAGGTTGAAAGAATACCAAAGGGGCGAGCTGAACATCACCCTCTCTGGTGAGTAGCTGTGTCAGATGCTTGCCCTGGATATCAGTGATGTTGATGACGAGGTATATAAACAGGCTAGATAATTACCAGAAACGAGAGATTTAAAAGCAACCCAGTCTCTCTAAAAAGTGTCCGTTTGATCCTTTGTCTGGGTTAATGTGAGTGAGATCCTTATTGTATAGAGAGAAAAAACTAAAGAATTATCCGCATAAAGCCATTCGTTATGTAAATTTGTTAATATATATATTTATTTATGACACACAGCAGATCTAGAGATGTGACTCATTGGGAGAACACTTGTCTATCATGCATAATCCTTTCTGTAGCAAAATCAAACACGAACCCCTACACACAGGCACATGAAAACACAGGGGCACATAAGAACCTCCTGTGTTTAAACAAGTCAAAATTGCAAATGCATCCTTGCCTTTCCAAGTCCTTTTATGGCTGACAAGCGTTTGTGGTTGTGTGCACTTTTACTAGAACATACTCTATAACACGGGTGCATTGTGTTTATGATAATCAGAGGTACGATTGTTCTGTGGTCTAACAGTTTAGGGGAAATTCTGGGTGACCAGTGTTAATAGGAATGTCTTTGTTGTGGAGTTTAATGGTTTTCTCACTGCCCCAGTAGGCTTTGTGATTCATCCTTGAATGTATCACATGACATTCATTCCCCACAGCCCCATTTTCCTGAAGCAACCACGGAACTAGTGTTCATAATTTGATTTGAGAAATTCTGAATCAGACACGTTTCTAATGAAGATCTCTTCTGTTAAAGAAATCTCACCACTGAGAAGCTGTAATTCTGTAAGATTCCACGGGGTGTGGTTCTGAATCTCAGCTGCCTGGAAGAATCCCTAAGCAACTTCAAACATGCCAGCATGGGGGTCCCTACCCTAGCAACACAGTCAGGGCCTCGGAGGATGAATTGTACAGTAGTAAGCTTTAGGGCTACACATCTTAGGAGTTATACCTCCTTATCAGCCTGGGAGCCATGGACTAATGTGAATTCTTCTTAAATGATGAATGCAAGTCCATGGAATCTTCCTCCCCATCCTAGCAAACACCAACAGTGGGAAGATGCCTCATGTACATACATATAAAAACAGAGATAGGCCAAGTCTGATTGTGTGTGCCTTTAAACTCATCATTCTGGAGGTAGATACAAGTGGATACAGACAGGCCAGCCTGGTCTGTAGAGCACATCCCAAGCCTCTACTTAATAAGACCAAGTCTTTAAGCAGGCATGTGGTGCATGCCTTTAGTCCCAGCACTCAGGAGGCTGAGGCAGGTAGAGCGCTGTGAGTTCAAGGCCAGCCTGATACATGTAGACAGTCCCAGGACAGGAAGAGGCTACAGGAAGAGACCCTGTCTCAAGAACAACCAAATAAGCAAACGAAAAAAGGTAAAACATTTCAATAGGCTTACGTGATGTTCTTACAGACAGTGAGTAAACCCTTGAAAAGATTCGCAACCTCGGCAGTCACTGGGGAATTGAAAATTCTAAAAACCGGTGCTGCTACACACCTACTATGGCTGAGTTGGAACCAACATCATGTTTCTGGGAATAACCTGCACTGTTTGTAAAATTATAAATGAATAGAAGTAAAGAACAAAGAAAAAATAGAGACAATATTCTGTAGAAGATTTGAGGCCAAGGAGGGAAAATGATAAGATCGTAAGAAACACTAACACAAAAAGCTTTATTTGAGTGTCCTTGAGAGAACAAAACCAACCAGAGCAGTGAGGGAGCCTCAAGCCAGAGGAGGAGAAGTTTCCAGCACTCCCAGGAGAGGGGAGGGGACAGTGGGAGCCAGCTACATGTGTAGTGACATGGCTGGGCATATAGGTCACAGCTAGCAGGCTAGTTGGGCCTGTTGTCTCAGGACCACAAGACTCGACTTGACTGGTGGACAGTAAGAAGTGAAAGAGGTTTCCATGGATACGCAAAGCAGGTAGCCTCCAGACCAGCAGCTCTCATCCTGTGGGTCACGACCCCTCTGCAGGTCACATACCAGGTATCCTGCATATCAGATATTTACATTACAATTCATAACAGTAGCAAAATTACAGCTGTGAAGTAGCAAAGAAACCATTTTATGAATGGGGATCGAAGGAGTGTGAAGAATGGTTTTAAAGGGCCGAGTCGTTGGGACTGTTGAGAACTACCACTCTGGGCGGTAGTTAGCTGCTTGAACATGGAGCACATTAGCACTGAAGGCCAGGATACTACGTATGAGATCTCAGTTGTGGTGAACAAACAACCTGTGAAATAAACCCAGGAGGACCATCTTTTTGGCCCATTTCTATAACATACCTGCTTTGCAGAGCCGTTTAAAAGGCTATCAGGGGTAAAATGCTGGTTTAGATAGAGCAGAAAGTGGTATAGCCAGAAAAGCCTGCAGACAGCACAGGCTGCCTGGGAGAAGTCCTAATCAGACCCTGTCCACCACCTTGCAAAGGGCCAACAAGTATTGATTGACTGTCCCTCAGGTTCCAACTCCTGGAATCTCATGTAGCTCTTGGATCATGAGGAGGTCAGAATCCCTTTTCTCTTCAAATGCTGAGATAGCTCCTGTCCTGCCCTAGTAGGTATTGGGGGGAAGGGGAAGATGGCACACCTGTGGAAGAATGGATATGTGCAGATATTCGGACATGTCTAGACATTCAGATCCAAAGCCTCTGGAAGCAGAGGAAAGCCACGCTCTGGCTTGCTGTTGTCTGCTGGTAGTCTCCTTGTCTGCACAGCACCTACCTCACACAAAACTTACTCTTTCACCAAAATGTTCCTTAGAGGGAATGCCTATGCCTTGTGGTAGCATTATGAGTAAGATAGATATAAGAAACTATTAAACTAGAAAAACCCACTATTTCGTCACCACAGTAATAATTTTTATATCAACAGATGCTAAAATTAGAGGGTAAACACATGTTAAACAGGGATGTGTGTGTAGTCTCACAGCATTGCCCCATAGATGCTTATTAATTACAAAGGAAAACAATAATTACGATGGAAGAATTCACCAGATGCTGCCTTAGCCCTACCATCAAAAGTAGCCTGTCAGCAACTTGGGTCTCCTGCTGTGATGCAGGAAGCAAACCCATTCTCCCTAACTAAGAGGGAACGTTGGCAAACCCAAACTGAAGGAGGTTTTATGAAGTCACTGGCCATCATTCTTCAAAGCTGTCAGGATTCTGGGACAAAGGAAATACTGAGGAAATCTTCCTGGATAGAGCAATAAAAGAATTAACACCATTCCTGGTGATGTGGGATCCTGGCTTGAACGCTGGGCCCAGAAGGGAGTGCTAATCCTTCAGTTGGTAAAAATGGAATACAAGCCCTTGATTCTGTATCTGTTGAAGTCAGCGTTCTGATTTCGAGATTGTTCTGTAAGATGTGAATGTGGCTGTGGCGGTGAAGGGCAAGTGCAGCTTTATACTACGTCTTCAACTTTGTATAACCCTGCCAATTTTCAAAATAAAAGCTAAAAAAAAAATGATTTTCATATTCTGGTACTTAGAGATAACAGGATTATTCAAGGAGATTTCCCCCTTCTTGGTATTTTGCAATAAGAAAGGTGAAAGAGGTCTGAAATGTGTATTTTAATAAGCATGTCTGTTCTATGATGCTGGTGCAGTATGCAACCCCATCCTAAAACTTGGGCTGGAGGAGTTCCTGGAAAAGACAAGAAGAGAGTCCAAGACTGGAGGGATGTGGGGGAGGGGGAGGTAATGAGAGGAAACTGGACGCTCCTGCACACAGGCCTCAGGGTTTCTGACTGAGGGAACACGGAGAGAGAGGCAACTATGAAAGACAACATTATGTACAAGACATTCGGGGGTTGGGGGGGTAGAAAGAGACCAGGAGATTAATAGACACACTGCTGACTTTGTATACATGAGCTGCTGCTGAGACTGAAGTAGACACTTCATAATTGTTTTCTGGATTGTTTTCTCTGAATGGTATTTGCTCTGTGCTGGGACTCCTTGGGAAGGGGTCCGGATATAACCGCCTAATTACTTACCTTTCTATTGCTGCGATAAAATCACACTATCAAGGCAACATATAGAAGGAAGGGTTTATTTGGGTTTAAGGTTCCAGAGAGGTAAGACTCCATCACCAGCACAGTGGGGAACTACAGTGACAGACTTGGAGGCAGTGACAGCTGAGACCTCACATCTCCAGCCACGGGTAGGAAGCAGAACGAACAGGAATTAGCACATGGTTTTTAAAACTGCAAAACACCCCTCTGGGGACACACTTTGTCCAACAAAACCACACCTAGTAAGCCTCCCCCAAACTGCACTAACTGGGAACCAAGTTTTCAAACATCTGAGCCTCTGGAGGGCCTTTTCATGCCAACCATCACCATAGTGTCAACCATGACACAGTCTAGATACTGCGTTTTGTTTGGAAGACAGACGAAAAAACCATTTACTGAAGGGCAATTTGGCATTATGATTGACAAGTAGCTTGAAGAATAACCAGAGGGAAAGGCAGTCTTGCAAACTCAAACATCTGTAGACCATCTCATATAGCCTTCTCTTGTTGAGTAGACGACTGTGAGCCGCAGCAGCTGACCCAGGAAGAGGGACTGTGCTGCTCACAGTCAGTTTCATTTGCAGGGATCGTATGTTTCTTCCCAATCATTTTCAGGACTGGAAACCAGAAGTGAAGCTGAAAAATTAGATAAATAGACACTGGAATCACTTCAAATGCCACTGCTGAAAACTTTGAAAAACACAGAAAATATCCTTGGGACATCCTGGTCTTTCATTGACTGTAACTGTTTTCCAGTTGTGTACACTGTAGGTTCCTGGTAGCAGCCATGTGACTGATTCTTGTGCTGGACACAAAAGTGAATTTCTCTCTCTAGAGACAAGTGCTTCCTCCTACCCATCCTTGAGGACACATCTAGCTTAGCATGTATAAAGCAATTCTGTTGTCCTGGTGACCTGAATATGAGAGTGCTTTGAACTAGTCTTTGAATTGCTTGCAGATTCTTACTTTTCTCACATTAATAAGTCAAATAAAACCAGTAATGTGTATAAGAATCAGATAGATAGATAGATAGATAGATAGATAGATAGATGATATAGACAGATATAGATAGATAAATAGAACTCTTTAAAGTTTACTAAGTGCTATTTCCTTCCATGTTGTTACATTATCTTTGCTGTAGAAGGGTAATAATTGGCCATCTCCAATATACAAAACAAAACATCTTCCCAATAGGCAACTACAAAATAGGTTCACTCAACTATACTGTAGTTGGGCTCCTAACGTAAAGTTGTGGGAAACTTTGAAATCCAGTGTTGTTTCTTTCAAACTGAGCTTTAGCCTAATTAGAAGTACAGCAGCACCTCAGCCTTACCTTTGTAAAGTACAGGCTCAGTCTAGAGTCAGCTTCTCCCAGTTGCTGCTTTGATCGGTTTTCAAGGAGCTTCCTGTGGAGGTATTCAATTCGCTCCCTCCCCACTTCCGGGTAGAAGGAGACTGACACTAGAATTTTAAGCTGCATCAGCATAGAAGACAACAATCCTAGTATTATTAGTGTCAAGAGAATAACACTGAGAGGAACCCAGGTCTCAGACACAGTGAGCCGTGGTTTAAGAAGGCAGCTTGGTTCAAACATAGATATATTAAAGGTTGAATCATGGATGACTCCTTGAGTGCCTTGCTTCTAAAATGAAAGAGTAAAATAATCAATATGTATGCCATCTTCTACTCTTGCTCATCTCTCTGTCTTTCTACTTCCTTGAAACACACTATTTTCTTAAAAACATTCAGAGTTTTGTTTAAAGTAGCTGTCTGTAAGCCAGGAAGTGGTGATGAGCTCTGAGTTCAAGACCAGCCTGGTCTTCAGAGTGAGTTCCAGGACAGCCAGGGCTACATGGAAAAACATGTCTCAAAAAACTGATGAGGATGATGATGATGTAGCCGTCTATCAAATATTCCTGTATACATTATAATTGAATTATTACTTTTATCTGTAAAGGTGACAATGTTTTCCAAAGTGGTTTTGTGGAGAAACTATCAAATAGAATCAGTTGTTCAATCTCTTCTTGGTGAACCACATGCCTGTGGAAATGTTAGGTTCTAGAAGGAAGAGAACTATGCTTTAACAAGCATAACTATATACCCATTTTAATGGATTTTTTACTTGTTTTATTACTTAGGGCACACAGAGGTGATGAAAGATGGGGAGTCAGCTCATCATTCATGAAAGAGAGAATAAGTTGGTTACACAGCCATTCAAGCCTTTAAGTAAGGACAAACCACCTTCATCAGACCACAGAGTTAAAAGATATTAAGACTTGAGTCATAGACTCAATTAATCTTTTGAGTTATGGGGAATTCTTCCTCTTTAGAATATGACATCTCCATTCAGGATGACATGTTGACCCACATTATTGAGGGAGACTGAATGGTCTTGTTGGAGGAGGCTGGAAGAGGCATTTTCTAGGCCCTCTGGGTATTAGAAGGGGTTTGAAGGCTAGAGAACAAACCAGTTGTTCAGCCAATGAGACAAAAGACAGAAGATGACATTGAAGCACCCAGCTCAGCCGCCCGAGTGGGGAGTGCATGCTGATTCAGCTTTCTCTCCTCTGACCTGGAAAAGTCATTTACTCTCTCAGTGGATTTGTTTTCTAATTTGGTAAAGCAGGAATTAATGGACCAGATCCTTCCCATGAATAAACTACTCCCAGTGAAAATTAAACACCTTGGGGATGGGGCATTAACCTCACAGACTGGAATACTCAGTAAGTTACTATCACCTTAGCACCACAGAGCCCCAGGCCCAAGAAGTAAATAACTTCTATAGATAGATAGATAGATAGATAGATAGATAGATAGATAGATAGATAGTTAAATAAATGTATGTATGTAACCATACCTAGCGAACATCTTGCATCTTAGACCTACCACCAAACCTGGGACCTCTCTACAAATGCCGAGTCACATGTGTGCCAAAGCAGTGGGAAACATTTGGGTAGCCGCTCATCTCCCTTTATTAAAAAGACAGTCCGAGTCTCCGGTTAAGCGGAGATCTCAGTCCCTAGAGCAGCGGCAGGCACTCTTTTTAATACGATGGGAGAAGCAAACACATCGATCGAGTCAGTGATGAGCAATCCCACAATGAGAAAGCAGCGGGGGTTTGGTCTGGGAAGAAGCTATTTAGTCTAGAAATCTAACTGGGGATTTGCAATTGGGAGTCAGAGCTTGAGAAAGATTGAGTCAACACTTTTGTATGGGCTTGCTTCGGGGCAATGTAGAAGACATATTCTCTTTTTCAAAATGCCAAGCAATATCCAAAATGAGACCCCAGTGGTTTAGAATATGTTTACTTCTCTTAAGTAAACAACTTGCTGAGAAGATATTGCTTCAGTGGATGGGAGGCTCTGTGACCAGGTTGTCCTGGAGAGTTAACGCAGGCCAGTACCTGGCCCATTGGATGCCCTCACCAAATCAGGACTACAGCTACTTCTACTCACATTGCTCACCCATTCAGGCTCAACTTGGATCACTTCCCACTCTCTTTATTTAAAGCGTTTGTCTAAAACTGTACAATAATGGAAGAGAAATATTGGCGAAACCTTGTACCACTGTTTCTCTTCCTGTCTGATTTCTCTTTCGCAAATCTGCCATAGCAGAGAAGTCGAGGAGCCTTCAAGGGCATCTTGGGATAGGGGCAGGGCACTGGCAGTCACGTGGAAGGAAGCGAGCTGCTGGCACAGTCTCCCAGGAACAGCAGAAGAAAACTTAGGAGATATCACTGAAGCCTTGCTCTCATACCTGACCCAGCGCTCAACATGCACCTGCTGGTATGTGAGTACACAGTGGTCTCTTCCATTGGTATATGAGTTCTGCAGTGGAGCTATCCTGGTCTAGACATTATCATATCCGTGGTACTCAACAATGTTTAAAGATGAATTTTATGGGGAGATAGAACTTAGACAGGCATACACAGATCCATAGAGACATACACAGATACAGAGAGACATACACATGCACACATGCACACAAACACACACACACACACACACACAGGTACACACAGATACCCAGACACATTCATAGACACAGAAAGAGACACAAACAGAGAGACACAAGCATGCACACACACACACACACACACACACACCAGTCTAAGTCAGTGAACATTCATCAAACAGGCAATGAATGTTTTATACCAACAGAGAGAGAAATACATGAGAGAATCAGAAGAAGAGAAATGGGGACTAGTTGGAAAACAGGAAGATTGTGGGGGGAGTGAGGTGAGGAGAGTGAAGTGGGGGGTGAGGTGGAGGAGAGCGAGGTGGAGAGAGGCCTTTTGCTTCTGGGCTTCTTGTTTAGCATCATTTGAAGCATGTCTTCCATTATCTGCTCATTCCAAATATCTAGAGCAACAGGGAACCTTCTAATTAAGTGAATTCTTCAGGGGCAGCAGAGAACTCAGAGTAATCAACTCTAAGAAGCAGCTCAGGATTTGAGGGACAAGAGCCCTGAGACTTGGTGTGCCAATCCAGAGGAAGGGGGAGGGCACGTGTGAATGGGCAGAAGGACTTGAGGCACCCAGGAGCATCGGGAGAGTGGGGTCCAGAGTGGCCATTCTCCACAGCATCTTGATAAAAAAAGACAACTCTGAAACATGGAGACAGTGGCCTGTAGGGTACTTAACCCCAGCAGGTACCCCTCCCACTCCTTTTTCCTGGTTCAGCTCCATAATTTTCAATGTTATAAAAACGGGCAAGTGTATGATATTTTCTAGATCCTGTGAAATGTTGCAGGCAAAATGAGAAAAAGAAAAAAAAGAAAAGATCTGGTGTAACCCTAGCGTTCTCTGATGGCTCATGGTTGCCAGGGGGAGGGAGAGAAGTTAAAGGAAAGACAGATCCACCCCCCCCCCCCCCCCCCCCACCCCCCCCCCCACAAACCAGGGC